ACACGGACGCCCCACTGGGAAGTACAGTGGGGAAGAAGCCCAGGGCTTCTGTGAGTGTCATGAGGGCCCCAGTCAGGCATTAAGGTGCTGGCTGCGTGTAAGCCAGGTGACTGCTGCCTACACATTCCACCAACCGCTGCAGCAGCCCTTCCACCCACCACCCACAGAGATTGTTCCAAACAAACAAATCCGGTCCTGCTGTCCCTCTGCTCAGGCCATGGCCCACAGGGAGCCCTGCTGCCCTCTCTACCACATCGAAAAATTGGTTTCAGTTGAGTGAAAGAGAGCAGATCCGGACCCATCATTCACTCATTCCATGTCCTCGTGCCACCTCCAGGGCTACAGGATAAAACAATCCTCAAAGTGTGTCCAGCAAGGGTACTGAGAAGAAGGCTGCGGTGGACCTGGAGAAGGAGCAGCAGAATTCCCAGTGGACAGACGAGGAGGACGAGGGCCTGGCCCAGGCCCAGCCTCAGTCCGCTCACGTCTGCTTCCTGGGCCCCAAGCTCAGCCTGAGCCACAGACATGGGGTAAGAACAGCCCAGAGACTGGGGTTCTCTGGGGCTCACTCTCACCTGGCTCACCAGGTGGCAAGGAAGATGGGAAGACGGGGTGTGTGTGTGTGTGTGTGTGTGTGTGTGTGTGTGTGCGCGTGCACGTGCACGCACAAGACATACTCATAACAAGCCCAGCACCTGCCTCATACCCACACAGTCAGACGTGGAAGGAGGGCCCGTGCTTTTCCTCTGCGGCTTCCCAGTGACACACAGGCTGGGTCAGGCTCTAGGAACTAGTCAACCAGCTCCTGTACCCTGTGCCCCTCCACTCTGCTTTCCCAGGCTCTGGGTCCTCCACTGGAGATGCTCTGGTTGTCCCTTTGTCCCAACGTGCACCCTGTCAGGAAGGCTTAGCAGAGGACCTGCAGGCTCAGTCATTCTGCATGGAGTCCCAGCTAAGGACGGACACCAGGCCAGAGAGGGGACAGGGGTTCCCTGGGTCTTTCCCTGCCCAGACTCAGCCTGCAGTGACTGTGGGGTCTTCCAAGCGGTGGTGCCAGGTGCCTTTCACACAGCTTGCCCTCTCCCTAGGAGTTCTGGCCTAAGGGTGCTGACAGCTTCCTTCGAATGCCCCTTGGGTCCCTATGCACACCCACCCTTGCCTCCCTGAGATGCCTTCATTCCTGGTCCAGGTGAGCAATAGTCTTCAGTGTCCATTTTTAACAGGTGTGCCAGGGTACACACAGGCATTTGCACATGCATGCACATTCACACACATGCACACATATACCCATGAATTTCCACACGCACATCCATCCACACTTGCATGTGCACACACACACAAAAAGGCTTAGCTTGTCACACTCCCACTTCAACACTGGGCCTCAGTGAGGCCCATGGCCCTTAGTGCCAGCTTTCCCCAAAGGGAATATACAGTTTGGCCTGTGTCCATGAGTCACCTATGGCAAAGAAAGAAGGAAATAGCAGATTCAGTATTTAATATTATCTTAAAATAGATCGACAGAAAAGCCCCATGAGATTCTTGAACCCAAGATTTCCCAACAAGTGTTCCAGTAAACATGATTCACTGAGATTTTTTTTTTTTTGGTACCAGGGATCAAACGGGGCCCTTGTGCTTGCAAGGCAGGCAGCAAAACCACTGAGCTAAATCCCTGGCCCTCACTGAGATTCTTACAAAAATGAAATTCTATAGTCCAAGGAGCTGGGAACAAAGTGTACCATGTCATACACTCTTGAAGAATCACAAACCACACTGGCATATTAACATCTCTGTGACTCCTGAAGAAAATATACCTATTACCAGATAAATGATAAATAATAGCTGGTAAGTTGGTGATGATGGATGGACAGATGGATAGAAGGATGTTAGATTTTGTAAGTCACTCCATGGGACACATTTCTAAGTAAAACTAGACCAACCACTTCTCTTTGACAAATAAAGAAATCCCTCACAGAAGGATTTGCTTGCTCGGGGTCACACAGCTGACAAAACTGGGATTAGACTCCAGCCTCCTAATGCCCTTATGTAGGCTCTTTCCAAAAGACCCTGTTCCCTTTTTTGTATTCAGCTCTAAATGCTAGGATTTCTAGGGATCAAAGAGATCTGTGCTATATCCAAACAAACCATAGTGTCTGTGATTGCACTCAGGAACTTTGCCTGACTCCCCCCCACCCGCAGAGTGGGTGCCCTTTTATGCACATCAGAAAGCACACTTCAGAGGTGGCAGGGCCCAAAGGAGACAACAGTCCTGACACTGGGTTTGGGATCACAGATCCACCTGTGCTATTGGAACGAGGGAGGAAAGCTTCCCAACAGGTGTCCCAAATGGGATGAGGCCTGTCATGCACCTGCAAGCATTAGGTTGGGAAACTGAAAGCTGAGGAAGCCTCAGATGGCGCTGGTCACACAGGACACACCGCAAGGTGACTTCCCTGCCCCACGACCCCCAGACAGGTGGTTACACCAGCCCTGCTACAGTCACCTCCCCACTGCCCACTGCCTGGGCACCCATGGCCTTCAGGGGGCACCCACTTCCTCCCATCATGGTTGCCTGGCCAGGTAATGTGTGGCCCAGGCTCATCCTGTCCCCATGCAACACTAAGGTTTCTCAAGAGGAGAGCAGGCCCTGGTTTCTGCCAACCCCCGCCAGCAGTAGAGGCGGGCTCTTCGTGGTCTGAACGAGACAGCCTGCCTCACGGTGCCCACACAGTGCTTGGCATGGAGCGGCCTCAGAAGGGTCCTCATCCGACAGCAAAGCACAGCCACAGAGAGGAAACATGGCATCAGAGAGCCCAGGGGGAGGGTCAGAGTGACCCTGGGATGGGACAGAACCTGACAGCTCTTCAGGATGTCGTGTCCCTCATTGGAGTTTATGGTGGCTGAGGTCACCTCCACCTCAAGCTTAGATCCCGTTACAGAATAGCAAGAGGGGAAACCTAAGGCACATCGACATCATTGTCACTCTGGCCTCAGCATAGAGGCAGCTGCACAAGCCTTGGGGGGCAGGGCTTGCTGTTGTGCTCAGGTTGAAATAAGGGCACTGCCCTTCCCGAGCCTGACGTGCTTGCTCTCAGAAGTGAACCTGCCCAGCCACACAGCGGACCCGAAGGCCGATCAATGGCTTCCACACTCCAGCCAAAGCTACCAGATTAGGAAGCAAAGAGGGAGAGGCCCCCTTCATGTGGCACCAAGGTCCACACTTCGGTCCTTCACAGGCGGTGGCCTCTGCGGGTGAGCGCAAGGCAAACACTTCCCAGCAGACGGGGTAGAACAGAGAGTCCACAACACTGAACCGTGTTTTTATCTGCCCTGGCGGCTGGGACACAGGGCCCAGGTCCTGGAGGCCTGCCAGGCCGGCCTAGTATCTGGCACGGAGCACCCGTGGGGCAGGGAGGGCCTGGGGCGAGCGTGCCACCTTGGTGATACAGGAGGACAGCTGGCCTGTGCACACGTTGTGCAGAGCGGGGCTTCCAACTTCCGGCCCCCCCAAACCACCCGTCCTTTGGTTTGCCCGCAAATCCAGCTGCTTGCCAAGTGGCTCTTCACCAGCTTTTCATCCTCCACTCTGGTGCGCAATCACCCAGGATCACGGGATCCTCCACAAGCCACTTCCCTCTGCCACCTCCTCCTGAGGAAGAGGATGAGGGGAGGGATTCCTGGAGCTCTAAGAAGCTTCCGGCTCCACAGTGCCACAGTCGGAGGGAGCACCGTCCCCCACCAAGGCGCACGCCTGACTTGCACTTTATGAGGTGGGAATGAGAAGAGCGCCCGTGGCGCCGTCAGCTAACACGCTGGTGTTTATACCGTGTTGCGGGGTTACTGTCGCACATGTAGGCGTAACTCACATCCCGGAGCACCTTGCTCAGTTTTGTACTTTCGGGGAGATAGCTCATTGAGTGTGCACATAGGATGGGGCGCACCGACACTGGGGGTGCACAGTGTGGGTGTGTTTATACCCTTGGAATACAGCCGCTCCGCACACGCAGGGGCCTCGGTGCAGCTTTTAAGCAGGGTTAACACCGTGACTCCAGAAAGGCTCTGGGTTTAAGACCACAGACCCTGCAACAGGACAGAGCTGTGTATGATGCACTGTCATTTCGGTAGACCTGGAGCAAGTCACCGAATCACTGTGAGAACCAGTTTCTTCACCTGCAAGTTGGGGCCAATACAGAATTTACATCCTAGGGTTCTTGGGAAGATTAGACAAGGAAGCACCTATAATAGGCTCCCACGGTGGCCAGCACATCAGGAACACTGGTAAATAACAGCTTTGTTACTGCTCATGCATTTAAAGGTATTTTATAATGTGCAATTAATCAGATGTTCCCAGTCCTAAAGCTCTTGAAAACTCAGATAACAGACAGGAGGAACACTTAATTCATATTTATTTCACATTTGATCTGTAAACTTTTTATTTTAAAAAAATCCACTGTCATTAGCAACATGTGCTGACATTAGTTTGTCTTGTTTTGTGAATATGAGCACAGGCCTTCAACCTTCCTCTGTCTGAAACATGTAGAAGCTGGGTTATGAACACGAGGGCTCTGCCTCCTCCCCTTACTTAGGCAGTTCATCAGTGACAGGATCCCTGATCCCTGACAGAAAAGCAGGGGAAGGACAAAACTTTGATACATAAGCCTTCTAGGGGCAGGAGCTGTACAGTCTGGCAGGCCCATGTATCTTTTCAAATTGTTTACCTTGGGCAAATTGTATCAGGTTTGCTTCTTCCACATAATTTCCAGGCCTCTGTGTCTAAAAACAGCAGCTAAAATATTTCCCTTCCATCAGCGCTTTCAGGGAGGGACAGGCGCGTGAGCACACACAGATAGAAACATACAGATTCTTCAAGCACAGCCCCAGGGGGAAGTGAGGCCACCAGAAGATGCGGCTTTAAAGTGAGTTACTGGGGCCAAGGGGGCCCCAGAGGATAATGGCTTTATACACAGGGCTGATGCAAAGCGGAAAAGGTTCATTTACTTCTGTCTTGGTCCATCATTGTAATATTTACATAGGAAAAGGCAATTATGCTGTTAGGAACAGGGGGGAGGGAAGGACAGAAATCTTTTCTCTGCCAGGAAATCTCAAAGCAGATCCCATCCAAGGGACAGTCACCAGTTGCTGGTGGAAAGGACACAGAGAGACAAAACAACCCTACAAAAGGGCTTGCACTGCCAAGGGGCTTGGCCTGAACCAGATGCTGGGTCTGCCTGGAGGGCGCCCCACGGCCAGGATCCCAACATCACACCCGAGGCTGTGTGACACTGGGGACCCCAGGTTTGCTATCAAAAATAGTGTGTTTTGGGAGAGTGGGCAGGAGCTGCCCTGAGTGTGCATTTTAAAATTAGAGAGTTCGCGGGTGGGAGGGAGCAGTAAGCGAGGGCTGGGTATCCCCTTCCCATTTACCCTTTGTGAGTCAGGCCCTCTGGAGTCCTGGGGTCTGAAGAGCTGGGTGAGCTGGGAGAGGGGAGAGAGTGCAAATACTCTTAGAAACAATACTGATCAGGGGCGGCCCACCGGGAAACTCCTCCGGACGATGGGGTGGCTCTCCCAGCCCGAACTGCCCCGTACCACAGGAGAGGCCCTGCAGAGCACCCTCCGTCAGAAAGTAGGTCCTAGGCTGCTGCGGAGGCGCGCCCTCCACGCCCCGCCTGTAAGCAGGACCCCAGCGCGCTCACACGATCCGCTTTCGGTCCCCCCGGCAGAGGATCTTCTTGAAAGCGCGGCGGAAGTCGTGGTTGAAAATGGTGTAGATGACCGGGTTCAAAGAGCTGTTGCAGTAGCCAAACCAGAAGAAGAACTTGAAGAGCGTGCGCGGCACCGAGCAGCCGACGGCCGTGAGCGTATAGGTGAAGAAGAAGGGGAACCAGCATACCACGAACACCCCGATGACCACGGCCAGCACGAATGTGAAGCGCTTCTCGCGGTTCTGCCGTCCGCGCCAACGTGACGCCTTGACGCCCGCGCCGCGCTCTTCCCCGGGGCCCGCGG